CTTCTCATCCTCGGCCTCCTGTCCTCCCTCTCCCTTATCCTCCTCCTCCTCCTCCTCCTCCTCCTCCTCCTCCTCCTCCTCCTGCTCAACCTCCTCCTCCTCAACCTCCTCCTCCTCCTCATCCTCCTCCTTCTCTTCCTCATCCTCCTCCTCCTTCTTCGTTTTCTTTCTCCTCCTCCTCCTTCTCCTCCTCCTCCTCCTCCTCCTCCTCCTCCTCCTCCTCCTCCTCCTCCTCCTCCTCCTCCTCCTCCTCCTCCGCCTCCGCCTCCGCCTCCGCCTCCGCCTCCGCCGCCTCCGCCTCCGCCTCCGCCTCCGCCTCCGCCTCTTCCTCCTCCTCCTCCTCCTCCTCCTCCTCCTCCTCAACCTCCTCCTCCTCCTATTTCTCCTCCCTACCGTGCTGACGAGGATGATGCCGAGATTACGGCCCTCCCCAGTGTATACCACTCGTTGAACTGCCGCAGGATGTGAACTCGACCCCTGTCTTACCGAGCGGACGAAAACGAGGTCGAATTCACGACCCCTCCTTGTCAGACCACTCGTCGGAAATATGCTGCCCCTACACTCAGCCTCCTTCTTGCTGCGCTATTGTACAGGCACGGTGGTGGGGTTTGCCGCAGGCAGCTGACACACGAGCGAGTTCAGTGATGACACTGCACAGGAACGGGTTCTAACGTCAACCCCCTCCTCCTTCTCTTCCAACTTGAGTGGGTCCTGAATTCAACCTGCTCATCCTCCTATCGCGAGTCATCGGTGTCCTCATTATCCTCCTTATCTACTTCGTTTTAATCGCGCGGAGGGGGAGGCTGGCAGCCTGGGGAGGAACGGGGGAAGGAAGTGGAGTTTCAGACCCGCGTCGGTTCAGACCCTCGGAGGCGAAGGAAACGACGGAAAGGAAGATGGGCTGGAAGTTGCGCGGGAGAGTCTGCGGTCAAGGGAAGGGTGCTCAAGACCCGCACGAGTGCAGCCAGGGTGCTCAACTGGAGCGGGTCTTGAACGCCACCTCGCTGTCATGTTCTCCATCCTGTCGCTATTCATCGCAATCCGGAAATAATGAGGAGAGAAAGGTGGGGTTCAAGAACCGCGCCTACACGGACCTTCGGCAATATCAGACAGGATACTGAACCGGAACGGGTCTTGAGCTCAACCTCATCCGCTTCCTCCTCGTTCCATCCCTGCCACCATTCATAGGTGGTCTCCGTGTCGTCTGCTCGCTTCGTCTTCTCACGTAGGGGAGGCTAGCAGTACGGGTAATTCGGGCATGAGGGAAGAACATGTCACGCCCCAGCGGACCCTCACAAAGTATCCATCAAAGCCACAAGATAACCGCAGGACGTCAGCAAGAGACCCCAGGGGAACGTCCAGCAAGTGATGCCCTCAAAGAAAAAGAAGACGGAATATGAGAAGGAGGACCTATGGAGGAAGGATGCGAACGATGCTGCAGGCAAGGAGGGGGGCGCTCAAGACCCGAAACACTGCAAACAAAGCGCTGAACTGGAACGGGTCGTGAACTCAATCTCCTTCCCGCTTCACTGCTGCGCTGGCACGGTGTCGGGGTTTGCCGAAGCGGCTGGGTACTGATGAGCTGCTCCATAACTCAATTTCGCGTGTCCTTGCAGGGGAGGGGAAAAAGTGCTCCGAGTAGCACGCAGGCACGCCCAGTGACTAATACATGTAGAGGACGGCGGACGAGGGAGAGGGATGCGCCACAGAAGAAAAGTGGGACGCCGAAGGATCTAAGTATACTGTGCATCGTCTCCCGAGCTGTATGGCCAGAAAGCGCCCGCCGCGGGGTCTATCCTACAAGACTTCTGCGCGCGCGCCGCCCTTCCGGGGCCGACGCACACATACAGCCGAACTGATGATCAATAAAGTTGTCATTTGAGAAACCTGGGCCGACCTCCCGAAGTTTCTGAACACAAACCTGGGCCAACTTATGGGATCACGCTGGAAGGACGAACGTGATCACGAATTTGAGCCAGCGTTCCGGCAAGCTGGTCAAGAAACGCTGGCCCAGCAGTTCAGGAGGAGGTGCGTGCATCATGTGCTCGAGTGTAATGTATGTATGTTCAGGCGGTGCCGAGCAAGGGTCAAGAAAACCCAGAATCGAATCGATAAGTCGGATCGGCCATCAAAATGAATCGGATCGGCGGGAATCGGCGGCCAAGTCGGGAAAAGTCGGGTCGGCGGAAACCGGCAGGCTGGTAAGGCTTCTGTTGGGAAATCAGCGTCCAAATTGGAATCCGAAGTCGAATCGGAATCGGAATCCATTGAAATCGAGTCGAATCGGAGGAGTAGAGTCGAATCGAATCGAATCGAAATCGAGTCGAGATCGAATCGAATCGAATCGGAGGAGTAGAAATGCGTTCTGATTGGCCCAGGGTGAGCGGAAGGCCTGCGCCCCATGCGACCACCTCTCGGGAGCCTCCTCCCGGGGAACCCCTGCTCCCCCGCGCCCGAGCTTCTCGGCCCAGATCTGGCATCATGCGGCAGGGCAACGACTGGGACTAGGATGGAGGAGGAGGAGGAGGAGGAGGAGGAGGAGGAGGAGGAAGAGACGAGGAGGAGGAGGAGGAGAAAGAGACGAGGAGGAGGAGGAGGAGGGAAGAGGAGGAGGAGGAAGAGAATAGCGACATCGGTCGATTCAGGGGCCGCTGGCGGCGTTCAATCTTGAACACTCGTGCTGGGGCCGCCGCGACGTCGACAGGGCACGACCCTGCCGCAACAAAGATCCCACGGCCGCGTGCTGCTGTCCGCCAGGTCCTGACTCTGTTGGGGGCTGGAGGCGGCAAGGGGGCTCCTCCACCCTTCCTCTTCCCCCCCACTCCTGCTCCTCCTCCTCCTCCCCCTCCGCCTCCTACCCCTCCCCCCTCGTTTTCATCTTCGTTTCGTCGTCTTTGGGGTCGGCGGCACCAGCCGAAAGGCCTTCGCAATAAAGATCCCACGGCCGCGTGCTGCTGTCCGCCCGGTCCTGACTCTTTTGGGGGTTGGAGGCGGCAAGGGGGGCTGAACTGCAGAAGCCCGGAGCAAACCAGGGGCTGAAGGCAGAGTCGCTCAAAATCGGTCCCCAGACCCCCTGGGGCCTGGGGTCGAGACTGACCAGCTTTTCACGTCGCGTCCAGCCGTGGCGACGAAGGAGCTTCTTTATCCCACCTCTCTGCTGGCTGGAATCAATGCTGTGCCACCTCTCGGCCTCCCAGCCGGCTCTGGCAGGCGCGAACCTCTCCCGCCCTCTCGGCGCTCTGACGTCGTGCTTCTGTTGCAACGCCGACCCGCAGAGGTCTCGTTCCACCTCGGATGCACACAAGAGTGACCCGAGCCAAGAGTGACATTTGGTGCGTGGCCTCAGGGGGCCGCGAGCAGGCCACATCCAAGCGCGAGGGCCAATGCTTGGGGGACCCCTGTGTGGCCACACCAAAGGTCACTCCAGCGATGGGTCACGCTTACGCGCAGCCGACTATTCCCTGGGACCGGTTTTTCATCCTGAGTCGTTATTTGACGGTCCTGGGGCCTGGCAAGGGCCCCCAGGGGCCACAACACGCCCTTTTTTTTAGACGCGGTGGGAAGGGCCCATGCGGCAGCATGCCGACACGCCGCCCGAGGCGGCAACGGGCGCCGACGCAGCGAAACGCCGAGGGGCCCATAGGCGGCAACGAGGTGGCAACGCGGCGGCAACGCGGCGGCAACGAGACGGCAACGAGGCGGCAACGAGGTGACGGACCCGTGGGCGGCAACGAGGCAGCAACGAGGCGGCGATGCGGCGAAACCTCGAAGGACCCATCCGAGCGGGCGGCAACGAGGCGGGGACGCGGCGAAACCTCGACGGACCCCCCAAGTGGGCGGCAACGGCGGGGGCGCACCTGGCGGGCAGCGCACCACGAGAGGAGCGCAGAGCTCGCGGCAGGCCGCTGCCACTGGCTGAGCGTACGCAGTGCGCGTGCGGCTGGCCGCAGAGGCCGCGAATTTCCGGCACACGGCAACCCAGGCCTCTGGGACGGAGCGCGCAAAAGCCCAAATCCCCGACGGCACGCTTGTTGTCAATCCCGTCGGTGTTCCTCGATCTTGGCATCTGGGGCCCATCGCCAAGCCCCGGAGCCGTCGAAAACGGTCGCCGGGCCTGGAGGCGTCAAAAAAACGACTCGCGATGAAAAAACAGCCCTGGGGGAAGGTTCGGAACTTCTGGGGGGCCGTATTTAAAACAGACATGGACGTCTGAAAGGGTGCGGAGCGCCCGCGGGTAATGTGGGAAAGCCCCCCTTCGCTCCTCGCCTCGGAACTCGAGCGATCGCGGCGGGACGGCCGCGGGTAGGCCGGGCATATCCTCCTACAGGAGTCCAAGAAAAAATCCAAAGACAGTCAAAAATACTATCAGAATCGTCCCTGGACTCTTTTTGACTATTTTTGGGCATTCCTCCTGTGGAGGGACAGGCCCGACTTCAGAGTAGTGCGGAAAGCAGCCCTCGGAACTCGGGATATCGCGGCGGGGGCTGTTGTCGCTTTGGACGCCCGAAATGGGTACGGAAAAAATTGGCACAATGCCGAACAACAAGTGTTGTCCCAAACCAACAGCGGCCGCTGTTGGGCAGGCGGCCTTCTGTCTCAGATGGACACAGGCCGCGGCGGCGCGGACAGCGAGCCCTGTTCAAAATAAGCAGGAACTGCTGTGGGGCATCGTACCCACTCTTTCCGTGCCCATCTCGTTCGTGCAGAGTCGCCACTCTTCTGGGGGCACGCCCTAGCCGGCACGGCCCGCGCTCGCGCCCTGGAGCCAGAGGCGAGCCACTCGAGCGGCCGCGCCGCCTTCGGGCGCGAGGCCCGTGCGCGGAGAGAGCCCCGTCTGGAAACTCCGCGGCACTCCTAAGAGGCGGGCCCAACAAACGTGTCCGGGGATCGTCGCGTGCACGTGCCCCGCATCGGCAAGCTCTGACGATGACAGATCCTGACCCGTCGTGCATGGGCACGCCCACGCATCGAGGGAGGGAGAGCGCCGGCGCGCTGCGCGCCTGGCTGCAGAAGCGGAGCAACGGCCTGCACGGCAAGCTCGAGCGCTGCCTGCCCGACGCGCAGACGAAGATACACAAGGACGCAAATCCAGAGGGCGAGGAGGCGACGAGCAGCAAGCCTGGCACAGCAGCCAAGTTGATCTGGCACAATCAGAACTGCAGAGCGGACAAGTCGCGAGTTTGATAGACAACATCCATAGTCATGCCACAGCGGGTAGGCACTATTAAGAGCAAGAACGGCATGCACGACAAACGTGCGCGTGGAACGGGCCACCCACTAGCACAAGCAATCATCATGGCCACTTTGACGAGTGCTACCCATGGGAGACGTGTTGCCCAGAATTCTGTCACACCCGTGTCACCGCCTGCAAACATTCAAAATCAGAACAGGAAGCGGCAAGGGAGAAATTCACGCAAATCAAGCTGCTGGCCACGCGCTGCCTTCGTGGACGGCAAGCGCATGACAGAACCTGCCCTGCCCAATCCAGGGCGCTGAGGCACCCAACAGCAGCTAGCTGGCCGAATCCGCAATATCGAAGAGGAGGCTCAGGGGCCAAGCGAAAGAATGTGACATGCTCCAAGCTGGGTCGCTTCGACCTGGAGGGTGCTGCAGCGCTGCGGGAACTCGGAACGGCCAGAAAACTGGAAGCACACATACAGACACACAGACACACAGACACACACACACACACACCTGTCAGCAGCAGCGAGTCCTCGCCAGGTTCGGGAGCAGTCGAAGGAAGCTCGGGGCCGAATTGGGCACACCAGGTGAAGAAGAGGGACAATGGAGAAACCAAACGGTGCTGGTACTGCTACTCCCTGGACCTTTCCGGGGGGGGCCTTCTGACAAGAACTTCGACGCGAACCCAGCGGGTGCGATGAGGGCCTCCCAGGAGGTCCAGGAAGGAGAAAACGAGAGAAGGGCAGCGGTATCGATAATTTTCCTCCTCTGAGGAAATCGACAAGCGGGCTCCACTACTCGCAACGCAACTACTCGCAAATGGCCTGGATCTGCCGCGGGGGGTCTACGATACATTAAATCGAAGCAATTCTGTTTTTTCCAGACGTTGGCGAGTAGGCACTTTGCGAGTAGAACGCTGTCGGTGATGACACAAAGAGCGCGCTCAGAACACGAAGTCCTGGAACGCGGATGTCGGAGAACTCGGGAGCGTCCACGAGGGGAGCGTCAAAGAGGGGGTTGGCGCAAATCATGAGTGGCGGCATGTGCGCGACCCAGGGTGAGGCCAGGGACGTGTTGAAATGAGAGGAGGCGCCATGAAATCTGAAGTTGCACCATGGCCCCCGCCATGATAGTGATCCCACCCCCCTACTCATCACCCCATCTCCTCGTCGTCGCAGTCGTGGTCGTCGTGCGTCGTCAACGTCGTTGTCATGGTCGTCGTCGTCGTCGTCGTCGTCATGCTCGTCGTCGTCGTCGTGGTCGTCGTGGCCGTCGTCGTCCCTGTCGTCGTATCGTGGTCGTCGTGGTCGTCGTGATCGTCGTGGTCGTCGCAGTCGTCGTGGTCGTGATTGTCGTCGTCGTCGTGGTCGTCGTCCTCGTCGTCGTCGTGGTGGTCGTGGTCGTCGTCGTCGCCGTCGCCGTGGTCGTCGTCGTCGTCGTGGTCGTGGTCATCGTGCTCGTCGTCGTCGGACTCGAGGTCGTCAATGCCATCGTCGTGATCTTGGTCGTGGTCAATATATTCGTCGTTTTTGTCGTCGACGTAATCGTCGTCGTCGTAATGGTCGTCGTGGTCGTCGTCGGCATTGTCGTCTTCGTCGTCGTGGTCGTCGTAGTCGTCGTCGTCGTCGTGGTCGTAGCCGTCGTGGACGTACTCGTCGTCGTCGTGGTCGTCGTCCTCGTCGTCGTCGTCCTGGTCATCGTCGTCGTGGTCGTCGTCGTCGTCGTCGTCGTGGTCGTCGTCGTCGTGGTCGTCGTTGTCGTGGTCGTCGTCGTCGTGGTCGCCGTCGTCGTGGTCGTCGTGGTCGTCGTGGTCGTCGTCATCGTGGTCGCCGTCGTCGTAGTCGTGGTCGTCGTCGTCGTCCTCGTCGTCGTCGTAGTCGTCAATGTCATCATCGTCATCGTCGTCGTCGTGGTCGTCGTCGTGGTCGTCGTCTCCGTCGTCGTCGTTGTCGTCGTCGTCGTCGTGGTCGTGGTCGTCGTGATCGTCGTCGTCATTGTCGTCTTCGTCGTCGTGGTCGTCGTAGTCGTCGTCGTCGTCGTGGTCGTAGCCGTCGTGGACGTACTCGTCGTCGTCGTGGTCGTCGTCCTCGTCGTCGTCGTCGTCGTCGTCATGGTCGTCTTCATCGTCGGCGTCGTGGCGTCGTCGTGGTCGTCGTGCTCGTCGTCGTCATGGTCGTCGTGACCGTCGTGCTCGTCGTGCGCCGTGGTCGTCGTGGTCGTCTTCGTCGTGGTCGTCGTTGTCGTGGTCGTCGACGTGCTTGTCGTCGTGGTCATCGTGGTCGTGCTCCTCGTCGTCGTCGTCGTGGCCGTCGTCGTCGTGGTCGTCGTCGTCGTAGTCGTCGTCGACGTCGTCGTGGTCATCGTGGTCGTCGTGGTCGTCGTCGAAATTGTCGTCGTAGTCGTGAATCGTCGTAGTCGTCGTCGTCGTTGTGGTCGTCGTGGTCGTCACCATCGTGGTCGTCGTGGTCGTCATCGTCGCGGTCATCGTTGTCGCCGTCGTCGTCGTGGACGTCGTCGGCGTCGTTGTCGTCGTCGCAATCGTCGTCGTGCTCGTCGTCGCCGCCGTCGCGGGCATGGTCGTCATGATCACCGTCGTCGTCGTAGTCGTCGTCGTGGTCGTCGTGCTCGTCGTCGTCGTGGTCGTCGTTGTCGTGGTCGTCGACGTGCTTGTCGTCGTGGTCATCGTGGTCGTGCTCCTCGTCGTCGTCGTCGTGGCCGTCGTCGTCGTGGTCGTCGTCGTCGTAGTCGTCGTCGACGTCGTCGTGGTCATCGTGGTCGTCGTGGTCGTCGTCGAAATTGTCGTCGTAGTCGTGAATCGTCGTAGTCGTCGTCGTCGTTGTGGTCGTCGTGGTCGTCACCATCGTGGTCGTCGTGGTCGTCATCGTCGCGGTCATCGTTGTCGCCGTCGTCGTCGTGGACGTCGTCGGCGTCGTTGTCGTCGTCGCAATCGTCGTCGTGCTCGTCGTCGCCGCCGTCGCGGGCATGGTCGTCGTGATCGTCGTCGTCGTGCTCGTCGTCATCGTCATGGTCGTCGTGTCCTCGTGGTCGTTGTCATCGTCGTCTGCTTGGTCGCCGTGGTCGGCGTGGTCGTCGTGGTCGTCGTCCTCGTCGTGGTCGTCGCCGCCGTCGTCGTCGAAGTGGCCGTCGTGGTCGCCGACGTCGTCGCGGAACATGTTCGTCGTCGCCGTGGTCGTCGTGGTCGTCGTCGTCGTCGAAGTGGTTGTCGTCGTCGTGGTCGTTGACGTGGTCGTCGTGGTCGTCGTGGTCGTAGTCGTCGTGGTCGTCGTGGTCGCCGTCGTCATGGTCATCGTCGTCGTCGTGATTGTCGTGGTCGTCGTGGTCGTCGTCGTCATGGTCGTTGCCGGCGTCGTCGTCATGGTCGTCGTCGTCGTGGTCGTCGTAGTACACATCGTGGTCGTCGTCGTCGGCGTGGTCGCCGTCGTGGTCGACGTCGTGGTCGTCATCGTCGTGGTCGGCGTCGTCGCGTCGTGGTCGTAGGCGTGGTCACCGTGGTCGTCATCACCGTCGTCGTCGTGGTCGCCGTCGTCGTGGTCATAGTGATCATTGTGGCCGTCGTCGTCGTCGTCGTAGTCGTTCTCGTCGTCGTCGTGGCCGTCATCGTCGTAGTGGCCGTCGTCGTCGTCGTCCTTGTCGTGGTCGTGGTCGTCGTCGTCGTCGTGGTCGTGGCCGTCGTTGTCGTGGTCGTGGTCGCCGTCGTGGTCGTAGTCGCCGTGATCGTTGTGGTCGCCATGGTCCTCGTCGTCGTCGACGTGGTCGTGGTCGTCGTCGTGGTCGTCGTCGTCGTGCTCGTCGTCGTCGTGGCCATTTTCGTCGTCGTCGTCGTGGTCGTCGTCGTCGGCGTGGTCGTCGTGCGTCGTCGTCGTCGTCGTGGCCGTCGCCGTCGTCGTGGTCGTCGTCGTCGTCGTGGTCGTTGTGGTCGTCGTGGTCGTCGTCGTCTTCGTCGTCGTCGTGCTCGTCGTCGTCGTCGTGCTCGTCGTCGTCGTCGTGCTCGTCGTCGTCGTGCTAGTCGTCGTCGTCATGGTCGTCGTGCTCGTCGTGCTCGTCGTATCCGTCGTCATGGATGCCATCGTGGTCGTCGTCGTGCTCGTCGTCGTCGTGGTCGTCGTCGTCGTCATCGTGGTCCTCACCGTCGTCGTCGCGCTCGTGCTCGTCGCCCTCATCGTCGTCGTCGTGGTCGTCTTCGTGCGACCTCGTCGTCGTCGTGGTCGTCGTTGTCATAGTCGTGGTCGTCGTGGTCGGCGTCGCGTGACTGTCGGCGTCGTGCTCGTCGCGATCGCCATCGTCGTCGACGCCGTGGTCCTCGTCGTCGTCGCGCTCGTCGCCGTGGCCGTCGTCGTCGTAGTCGTCGCCGCCCTTCTCAACATCGTCGTTGTCGCCGTCGTGGTCGTTGTCGTCGTCGACGTGGTCGTCGTCCACATCGTCCTCGTCGTCGTCGTGCTCGTCGTCGTCGTGGTCGTCGTCGTGGTCGTCGTGGTCGTCGTGCTCGTCGTGGTCGTCGTGGTCGGCGTCGTGGTCATCAGCGTCGTGGTCGTCGTCGTCGTGGCCGTCGTCGGCGAGGTCGTGGTCGTCGTCGTCGTGGTCCTCGTGGTCGTCGTCGTCGTGGTCGACATCGTCGTGGTCGCCGTGGTCGTCGTGGCCATTGTGGTCGCGATCGTCGTCGTCGCAGTCGTCGTCGTCGTCGTGGTCGTCGTCGTCGTCGACGTGGTCGTCGTGGTTGTCACCGCCGTCGTCGTGGTCGTCGTCGTCGTCGTGTTCGTCGCCGTCGTGGTGGTCGTCGTCGAACTCGTGGTGGTCGTCGTGGCGATGGTCATCGTAGTCATCGTCGTCATGATTGTCGTGGTCGTCGTCGTCGACGTCGTCGTGGTCGCTGTCGTCTTGATCGTCGTCGTGGTGGTGGTCGTCATCGTCCTCGTCGTGGTCGTCGTGGTGGTGGTCGTCGTGGTCGTCGTCGTCGTCGTGGTTGTCGTGCTCGTCGGCGTCGTCGTCGTGGTCGTTGCCGTCGCGGTCGTCATCGTCGTGATTGTCGTGGTCGTCCTTGTCGTCGTGGTCGTCGTCGTCGCCGTCGTCGTCGTGGTCCTCTTCGTCACAACCGTCGTCGTCGTGGTCGTCGTCGTCGTGGTCACCTTCGTCGGCGTCGTGGTCGTCGTCGTGGTCGGCATCGTCGCCGTGGTCGTCGTCGTCGTGGTCGCCGTCGTCGTCCTCACCGCCGTCGTCGTTGCCATTACCGTTGTCCACATCGTCGTCGTCGTGGTCGTCGTCGTCGTAGTC